CCGCCCCGCGCCGCACCGCGCCGCACCGCACGCCTCACACACGGCCTCCCTCACCGCAAACGCTCCTCCTCCTCCTACACACACACACACACACACACACACGGGGGAATCTCATGTAGCCCCCGCACCGGATATTTGTTTCTTCTGAGGCCAACGGAAGTGTAGGTCGGCGCCGGATCTATTCACCATTCACTACACTCACGGGACTCATGAGCACGGCTTTTCACGTGTCTAGCAACACCTAACAGTCGTTGAGGGCAGTCAGTGCGTCACCATCTCACTGCACTTGCTGGCACCGTTCCACCGGCCCCATTCACTCGTCGGTGTATAACGGCGTGCTGGGCGAGGAGAACGAAAACTATTTTAGTTTGCCATCGTTTCGAAAGATATGTTTTCTTCTTCGGGACTAAGAAAGTGAGAATAATACATTTTGCAATAAAAAGGTAGAGGCATCGACAAAAAAAAACAAAATTGCAATGTAAATTTCGAATAGTTTGATTCACCTTGACCAACACCCTTTTATACACCTGTAAATATCGCAAGGCGCCACCTGTGAATTTCGTCCCCATTTTTCTACCCCTAGCAGCACCAAGACACAAAATGTCCCATGCATCACCAGGGCAGATCCTCCGCAGCCCTACCCCTTACATTGTCGTTTCACTGATGCTTTCAACGGTTTTCATAAGTTAACAAATTGATACAACAGAGTATATGTGCATTTATTTGAAAAAAACATTTTTCAACTTCTCACACTGCAAATAAAAAAATAAGACATTATCGCATCAACATCTTTATTTAAGCACAAAACCCACAGCATTTTTAGGTAAAAAAGGCCGATGTATCTTCATAAGATACCAATACATTAAAAATGTCTTTGAGGTTTAAAAATTTTCAAATATTGCCAAAATGTATTCTGAATGTCCGTTTTCGACTGAGAAGGACATACTATTTATTCGCAACCCAAAACTCTGAAATAGCTCAAAATATAAACATTCCTTATAAAATAGAACATAATTTGAACATACGCACTCCATAATATAAAATATTTTTACCTACTTAAAAGTTTGGGATAATACAAAATAAATAATTGTCGATGTAGCACTGAGCTGTCCATTGGCTAGCCAGCTGAGATGCCACAGGGCGACAACTGATGTCAGTGCAGTACTTCTGACTGAGAAGCCCTATGATTAGAGTCTCGGCGGAACCAGGATTTTCTACTCTAGGTAGAGAGCTAGGTCGAATTCAGTCGATGCCTGGAAAGAATTCTAGCGACCGACTGCGCTGACCGGTAGTTTTCCAAGGTTTCACCGATCAACACAAGGTGAATGCCAGTGCAGTACCCTAACAAAGGGGCAACAACCATGCGCAATCTTTCTTTCCTCTTCCTTGCCCTAATCACACTCCTAACACACGCTTACACTTTCGTCTACTACATTACCACACATGTCGACTACTACCACATGCTACAAGACCAGTCGGCAGCTTACAGCGGTTCCGGTTGGGGCGTGGCCCCGCTGGTGGGAGATACCTGGTTGGGGGAAACTACTAGTCGGCGTGTAGGTCAGCGCCATCCTGCTGGGAAAGACCACCTCCATTTCCTGTGATACAAAACGCACCGCACTTACGGGACTAATGACCTTTGCACTTGACGCGCGCGCGAAAACACGACATGACCCTCCCCGTGTGGCGAGAGGCACGCGCCCGCGCGTGGCGAGCGTTGGCCCCGGCCCCGGCGCCCGCGGAGGCCTCGGCTTCGATCGCTCCGCAGCATGCGGGAGTCCGGTTCGACGCCCGGCCCCTCCCTTGCCCGCCCCCGCGCGCCCCAGCGCCCCGAGCCTCGCGCACTGGCTCCGGGGCGGCGCAAGCGGCACGCACTCTCAACCTCCTACTCTCTCACTCTCACTCTCACTCTCACGGTACTAAGTCTCTATTCGACCGCCACTGTGAACTTAAATAATTTGAAACAGTATGCGTTCTTTTTCAGCTGCCCATCCACACATCATTTAAACACTCGCAAGCAGGTACGACTAACGGGGTTCTCATGTGTTGGTAGGTTATATCTGAAATGTGTGCATGTGATTTGCGAGTGAACCGCGAGTGGCGGCTCGGATGCCGGGCTCGCAAGGGAGTCCTTCCACATCAACCCAAAGGCGAAAGGACGAAGCGCTGCCATCTGCCCTCGCCCACGCGGCCGGTCGCCGGACTTTGAACCCGAGACGGAGCGCTCCCCCTCCCCAGCGCCTCCCACGGGCTGCTGCAATCGAGGACGCGTACACCAGGGAAACTACTGATGCCTGTGCAATATGCTCTCGAAAAATGCACAAAAATATCATTTTTATTCTTAAATCCATTTCCTAATAATTCTAATACAAACCATCTCAAACGTTAAGCAACTTATTATTTATATAACTTCTCACAGGGCCTTAAAAGCCCTGCATATGCATTGACGTAATATAATCAAATTTTGGAACCTACCTAGATACCTTTTGAGATTTTTTTCTTTGTCAATGATTATAATGAAAGTAGAAAGATAGAAAAAAGATTACACGAAGGGCAAGCTTTGAAAGTACAGCTGTTCAGAGGAAAAAACTAAATAAAACATGGTCGACGGAGGTCCTGGGAGGTCCTGCACATGCATCCTAGAGATAAACAACATTTTCCATTCAGTTCGTGGTTGTAGCAACAATTTATTTGGCGCGGTCAATCCTATAAATTACATAGCAGATAAAATTGAAATAGGGACGACAAATGTATGTTAGTGAAACTTAAAAATTAATTATATGTATTTTAATTAACACATACGCGATGTTTTCATTATTTTCTTAGTTGTAGTACGATCAAAAACTTTTTTGTGATAATTCTACCATAAGTAATTTCAGAATTATTACAAGATTGTCTGGAATTTAAAATTACTTTCTGACTGAATTCAAATAGGATCACGAAGAAGTACAACTAATTAATTTTTTGGCAAAGCATTTAGAAATTGCAAGTTAACAAGACTATACCAACGGAATACTAACAATTGTAATGAAGGTTTTTGAAATATTTATTTAAAAATCTTGACAAAAGTGAATGAATTTATAATAATAGTCGAATAATATCGTACCAGTCCTTTGTTGTGATGGCAAAGAAAAATGTATTATTAATTTAAATAAGTGCAGTAATTAGTATTAACCCATTAAATAATTTCCTTTAATCAGTAAATCTGTTAATGCATTTGCGCTCCCAAGTTCGAAGCCGATGATTGTTGGCCACCGGCAAACGGAGAGTGGGCCCACGCCCAGACAACCTCCCAGAAAATGTCCCTTCATCATGCATGAAGTCTCCAGGTACAAACTAGGGAGAGACAGAGTAGACATTGAAATTATTTGTCCGATTTGCTTATCCTCTTCTTAATTTGCAAGAAATGCCCTTCGCTGAGCGCAATTCTTCGCTGCGTCCGTTTGGGTTCATTCTGCGGCGCCCGGTCGCGAAGCCCCCCCCCCCCCTTGCCTTTCCATCTCCTCTCTCCTCGAATGCACATTCTGTTTACAGCAGATGTAACAATGATAATACGAACTCTGTGAAGCAATTTCATGATTTACGTATTTAATGAAAACTGTACTTTATTATATAAATTAGTCCTTTCAATACTGGCTTGATATGCAATGACTCATTGTAAATATATTCACGTACACAAAATCATATTCCGTTTTCATACTAAGATTTATCATTTTTGTATAAGTTTCTAAAAACATCTTGACACATTTTGTTTTTATTAGAACAAAAAAAAAAAAAGAATTTCGAATGAACGATGAGTATGTTTAATCATATTCACATATAAGAAAAGAAGGCTGAGTTTTCTTTTCATAATATCATAACTGGTTAATTGTTCGAGGAAGAGTAAACATTCCAGGCAAATGTTCCCCTGTAGCGAGGGGCGAGGGAGGGGGCGAGCGACTGGGTGGGTCCCCCCCCCCTCCTCGCCCGCCGCACGCCGCACCCCACCCCCGCCCGAATGAGAAATGTAGTCACTCAATAAACCACCACATTTCAATGCTCATTCTTCTCTTCCCTTTGGACTGGCTTAGGCAGCTCAGGCTATCAATTGGTGCCTCTGCAGTGCCTTTGACCAGGAGGTCCTAGTTCCACTCCCGACGGAGGTAGAATTCTCGACACTAGCTACAATGCTAGGTGGAATTCAGCCGCTGTCTGGAGGAGAATTCTAGCGGCCGGCTGCTCTGATCGGTAGTGTTCCGTGGTTTCTCCGATCAACACCAGGCGAATGCCGGAGCAGAACCCTAAGAAATGGGCCACGGACCGCGCGCATTCCTTCCTCATCCTCACCCCTTACTTCCAGAAACACGTACATGCACTTGTCTACCACATGCCAGGAGACCAGTCGGGAGCTTAGAGCTTGTCCCGGCTGGGGCGGTGGGAGATACCCCGCTGGTGGGAGATACCTGGTTGAGGGAAAACCTGCAAGCCGACGTGTAGGTCGGCGTCGGATCTCGCCATCCAGTGGGGGAAGATCACCGCCCCTCCCGCGACGAAAGCATGCACTACACTTTTGAGAGCAATGACCTTAGCAGTTGATGCGCCCGATATCACTAATCAATCTTCCCTTTGGATTCATTAATTCGCATCTGTTGGGGTTATGAGTTTTGTCAGTTGTGGGAAGCAAGTCAGGGAGTCGGGGTGTGGGTGGCGTGGGCGGGCGGGGCGGAGACTACAAGGGCCTTCTCCTGCCGCAGAGTGCCCATGTGTACTTGCGCGACGCGCTGTCTGTGGAGGAGTTCTTAGCCAGTGCCTGTGGCCGCAAGAGCCTCAACCCTATGGAGCACTTTGTGCGTGTGAAGAAGCGCCGCGACATGGAAGACCACAACTATTTCGTGCCTCATCGGACGGACCTCATCGAGACATACGTGAGTGCACTGCTCTTGCCGCGCGCCGGGTGCGAGACTCAATGGATGGCTTGGTGCGCCAACCCCTCATGTCGCTTTCCACGATTTTCAAAAGAGAAGGAAAAAATTTACATCAGATTCTAAAGCAAATTAGATCTTTAGCCAGCCGTTACACCCATAGTTGGCGGTGTAGAAAAGAGATTTTTATATCAGTCGATGCGTTGCATATATATATATATATATATATATATATATATATATATATTTCAAAATCTGATTTTCAATATTGACATAGGGTTTTTTCCACCAAGCGATTCAAATGCTACAGATTTCTGGGGCATGCAGAGAGCTCCAAGATGACCACTTTTGGTCAATGAACATTTGGAGGGAAATTTCAAATTAGATTATCACACATGTTCACATGTTACATTTGCCTCTGATTTGTAAACAGCTCTTCGTGTATTGGCATATTTGGCGGGATCAAGATATGGTTTTGCGTCATGAAAGTAGAAGTAGTTGTAGTGGTAGTAGTAGTAGTAGATGTAAAATTAGAAGTTCGTTGCTAACTCGTGAAAGAAAGAAAAAAATGTTACTAGCATTATATTTCCATGCACCCAGTTTGCACTAATAAAGAGTTGACATATAAAGCAATAACAACAATATTATGAATAATTTTCTATGTGTATAATAATTATGAAAGAGGGCGATGAGGTAAAGAATATTAGATCTAATGCACATTTTTTATTATTAAGAAGCACGAGAAAAACAAATATTAATAGTTTAAAACGAGTCATAAATAAAAAACACACACGAATAGCTTTCTCTCTCTCTCTCTCTCTCTCTCTCTCTCTCTCTCTCTCTCTCTCTCTCTCTCTCGCTCGCTCGCTCGCTCGCTCGCTCGCTCTCTCTCCGACTCTCTTATCGTCTTTCTCTCCGTCTCTCTCCGACTCTTTCACCGTCTCTCTGTCTCTCTCTCCGTTTTTTAACCTCTCTCTCCGTCTCTCTCTCTCCGTCTCTCTCTCCGTCTCTCTCTTCGTCTCTCTCTCCGTCCCTCTCTTCGTACACCTATAGTGATAACATGCTCATTTGAAAAATGATTTAGTGTGTAATGAATTTTGTGTACTAATAAAGTCATTTCTACGAATTACAGGTATCCATTATTTTCTTTTTGAGGGGTCTTTTGAGAAACCATACGTATTAACCTTGCTATTACTTTCATAAGTATTTTGCAGTCTGCGAACACTGCAACGTTGAGGTATCCTTGAAACGTATTGCTAGAACAGTTGTATAAATGACGCATAAACTGTAAACAATATTAAGCACTGATATACTAATCACACTACTTATTGAACATGCACATTTTTGTTTTTTAAAAACACCAGCAAGTATCAAATGCTTAGCGCCCAACAACATGACCTGATTGTTGACACCACTCATGCACCATGTGGTTAGATGCAATGCTTGTTATTCTAGCTCGCCTTTTCAACAGTAGTACCACGCATAGAGCGATTGTCTAACATAATTACTCATGGAGAAAACAATGGCAAATCACTTTCTCTCATAAATCAGTCTACACGCATCGATCTAGAATCATTTCTCCTTTTGTATTCCTTCGTTACTCGCCGCATCTCGAATTTCATTTGAACTGTTGGGGGTTAATGTACTGTTATTGTATTTTGAAGATCTGAAAATGTGAAAGAATTCAACATCTGGTTCTTTACCAACTTGTTTTGCTCTAGACTGAAAGTAGCTTCACTCTGCGTACGTTTAGTTGATCTCTTATTTTACTAGTTTGGTAGAAATAGAGCTGGAGGTATGGATACTATTTTTGAATTCTGTAGTACGTTGACCAATGCAAACAATTTTTTTTAACTGAAAAAAAATTTCTTTTTTTAAACGTTACTAGCCCTGCTTTGTTAGTGCCTTTATTCATCATTGAATTATTTAAGGTAGGAAAGGTTCCAGAACTGAATAAAACGTGCGAGTATTCTACTCCTCCCCCATGTATCACATACAGTTTTGTTCTGTTGATTGACAAAAAAATCAAAACCTCCGCCACAAACAGCGCCCCATCCACTTCGATTCCCTTTGAGGAAGAGAGCCTCGCCTCCTTCTGCTTCGTTGGCCGCCTGTGGATCTCTCGCTGCCAGCGAGCTACAATAAACTACACAGAGGGGCAGATCCTACAGTTGCAGGGCTCTTGAGAGTCACTCGACAAACTAGGAGCCGCCATGTTTCTTACGTTCAAAACACGAGAGGTGTCTGATTGTGGCGTGTAGAACTATTGTACTGAATCGACGTGTTGTTTGAATCAGATCTTATTTCTATATTGTTATTTTCGATTATCTGTGTTTAAATTATATCAGTGGTTAGAATAGTAATATTCACAATGCTTTCAGTATTTTTGGCTCAATATCCCATGGTATATTAGCAATAACCAGCTTCATCAGAGAATTGAAACTAGAACCGATCAAATATTTTATTACAAGAATTTCCCAATAATTTATTGAATATCTTAAAAATACTCCCTGTGAAGCCCTATTTTCGCTAGGAGAAAATGGCAAAACTCCAAAAGAATCATATAAAGCTATCCAAATGATGATTTGAAACCCCCGTAATCGAGTAAATCTAAATTATTCCAAAACGTTCCAAAACTGGGGTTAAATAAAAAGAAGGAATACAAACAACTAGCAATTAAGTATTTTCAATTATGAATAGGCAGATGTAGCCACATGACAACAACAGAAATGGTCGCGAGTAGACGTGGGTCAAAAGTATTTACTGAGATCCCTGAAAGGCAGCAACGACAAACAAGAGAATTAATTATTTTTTAAATAAAAAATAAAAACGTATGTTCGGCATATAACTGTAAAAAATATTTTTAATCAAATCACAGATATATCATTTATCAAGTTTACTGCCTTATTTGTGATCTCTTTCCTTCTTATTGGAATTCATCTACAAAAACATTTTCACAGCTTTCATTCTTATGGCAATAATCGATGCAGGGAGCACCGTGTTTTTAAAGTTTCTCAATTCGTTCTACTTACATATCGTGATTTGGGTTTTAAATGATTGGGTTTTCATCGTCAATCATAGAGTAAGAGGATTTACACGTATATTCCGCACGGTCCCCGCGCACCCGTTCTTAACTAGCGCCAAACAGAATACTGTTTCTCCAGAGGGCTCCGCTTTGTCTGCAAAGACATGGCTTCAATTTGCTGCAAAGATGGAGGAGCGTCAGCCATTCTATGTAGTATATGATCACTCGTTGCTCGCTGCGCACTCGCCAGCAGAACTGCACCGCCCCACGCTGCATTGTATTTTGACAGTTTTCTACTGAGAGTAGCAAATCGGAATGCTGTTGCTGAAGGAACAAAAATTATCACTTGTTTTTGTATACTATTTTCTTCAACTTGTCATTAATTCTGACAGAATTGTCTGCTAACAATTAGAAATATAAAACAATTGATTCTATCAAACCGCTAAACGACTACGAGATTATCAAATTTCAGGGTTATTTATCAAATTTACAAAAGTATACAGAAGTTTTACATTCTATATGAAAATATCATTTAAGGATTACATTATTTTTTGAAACACAAATGTTGCTAAATATGTCATATCACGGATGTTAGCATGTCATATCGCGATATCACGTAATTGTGATTATCGATCATGTTCGATATTCCTGTTCTGCTATGATCTCTAAGAAATCTCAAATAGAAATGACTATTTTTGTTCTTTTTTTAAATAAAAAGAATAAAGAAATAATTGGTAGGAGAAAGGGAGGATTAGAGTCCAGCAACAATATACAGAAAGACACAGAATTCAAGTGGTGCTGCAGAATGGCACAGACTTCATTTTACTAGTTAGTTTTCTTATATCTTCATTCTCAACTATTTTTCCGGTTTTCCCCACCCTCTTCGAAGTGACATCTATTGACTCTTAAAACTTTTTTTACTTTTTCTCATGTTTTTGGATACCTAATGGTACAATTGAAATATGACTTTAAGTGTACAATAGAAGAGTAAAATCTCTGTCTGTATGCACATTTTCATTGGAAATTTTAGAGTAATTTTTATGAAAATGTCCTAAAAGCATTTGTGAAAATGCACATTTTAAAATTCATTTTCACATAAAATTTAGGGGTTTTCGAGAACCTTCATGAGAAATTATCCGTCTATAAAATTAAAACAATTGGAGCATTTTTTAGAAAATGGTGGCTGCGCGTTTCTGAAAATGCGCAAATTTAAGCTCCTTTTTGAACAAAACATTTAATTTTCGAGAATTTTAACAGATATCATTTGGACTTACATATCAAATAACGTTTACAAAACTCCAGTTTTGTAAATGTTAACTATGTGCATTTCTACTTATGTATACAATGTAGTAAACTTGTGGTGCTGTAGATTGGCAAAGACTCTCTAGTACTAGTTTTCTAATGTCTTTAGTTGCTTAGTCTCTATTCTTCGCTTTTGCCCCTCCCTCTTCTTAGATGTCATCTGTTACCCTCTAAAAGACATTTCTTAACTTGAGAGCGTAGGCTTCCGCGGCCGGAGTCCGTATTTACTAGGCTGTCCGGGTGATGCCGCGTCTATGGCAAAGGTGCCGACGTTTCGGTCGCCATTCTGCGACCTTCCTCAGGGCGTAAGGCATTACGCCATGGACGCGGCGTCACCCGGACAGTCTAGTAAATACATTTCTTCACATTTTCACAAATTTTCGCTGTCTTAATTGTAGACCGGAAATATGGCCTTAAAAATGTTATAAAAGAGTAAAACCTGGCCCATGTAAGCAAATCTTTGAAAAATTTGGATCCGATTTTGGTAAAATGTTGCTCGAACCTTTCTGCAAATGCGCAATTTTGTGCTCATTTTCGCAGAAAGAGAGAGAGAGAGGGAGGGAGAGAGAGAGATGACTGTGCAGAATAGGTGGCATGCGAAATGTGTTGGAGAAATGTAAGCAAGAGAGGTCATTTCCTGGAGTATTATCTAAGAGCTATTTAGAGAAGGCAAAGGAAATCTTAAAAGAGGAATCAGCATTAATTATTATGATTAACAAAGCCAAATTGATGATACCGACTGTAACAGTGTAATGAGATAAGTTGTAAAACAAATAAATAGATACAGCAAATATTACTTTTTCCACACTATAAATATTTCCACACAAATAATATTTAATGATTAATAGTAAAATATTACTTAGGGATTGTAATATTAGTTTTGTGATTTTTATTGTCGTTTTTGTTCTAAGCCAAATTAAAACATTTATTTACTGATAAAAGTGGTATTTTATTTTGCTAGTAGAAAATGTTGCGACTACAAACAGAGAATTAAACTAGATTTCGACGGGAACTCGTGTGACACCGTCTACAATAAGATACATCAAGTGCAACTCATTTAACAACAGTATAGTATACAATAATAACTTAAATTGTAACAATACGGAAGCAGTATTCTGCATGAAGTGAATTTGGACTGCCTATCATATAATTGTGTTCTTTCTCTATATTAATATCATTGTGTAATATCAATATCTGGTTCATTCCCAGAGTTGTACACTACACGCCCTTAATAATGATTCAAAAACAATTCACACACGATAACGATACACATAGAATTATTGTTTTCAAGTGGGTCGTATGGCTAACAAATGCAATTATCTTATGAATTGGTTAAAACGATTAAATGTTACTGGCAGTATTTATTTCCCATTCAACTACAGTAATTCATTAACATGATTGAAATAATTTCACTCCACTCCCCGGTTTAAGGGAAATCTGAAACCTTTCTTCTGTACCCTGCCGAACAGCGTCGGAGCACCCTGGAGCCCAGCATTTCGCCGTCATGATCTACAACACTTGTTAACAATATACACCACCAAGTACCTTTCGCAAAAGAAATGACACCACAAACACGTGGAATGCCTTGGGGAACACTCTCTCCACTAGTGACAGTGATAAGACTGTGATAGACTCGTAAGCTCGTGCCGCTACCTGAAGAGCAGATTTTCGAAGTAGCGTTTGCAATTACGCGTGAAACTTCAAATAGATGCCGCTACACGAAAACGACGCTGGCGCATTCTCTAGTCCACACTCTCAAACAGCAAGAGTGTCCCCTACTATTATACATATTCCTCTAAACCATTTGGAATAGTGGCGCAATCTTATGAGCAAAATAAAATAATTTTTACCACATTTGTCGTACATTACTTTTAGCCAGCATTAGTAATTTCCATTTTATTTTAACTGAAGAATACAATTTACTTAATTGCATACTACGAGCATGTTTTTTCGAGCTCGTATGCTTTTCAAGGTCAGCATTGGTGGATGCGGCCAGATGATTTTTTTTTCTTGTATCAACACTGTTTAGTCTGAACATTTGAGCATCGCCTCACTTTTAGCACTAGTGCTAAAAATTGAACTTGTAGCATGCTCTAAAAGTACCCGCTTTTACTGGTGGCTGTCTAAAAGTCCCTTTCATCCATTAAAAACCAGTGAGTTGATTAGAAAGATACAAATGGTAGAGGTCTTGTGCTGCAGCTGCATACACACGAGATTGTGGAGGTTTGCGCCAAAATTCTCTACCAAGTGGAGCTTCAAAGGACTACGCTGGAGCAGATGTGGGGATTCTCCGTGGAGGCGGAGCTCATCGAGAATGCAGACCGCCAGGACGAGCTGTGCTGCTATGTGAGCCGCGTCGAAGACAAGAGTGTTGCGATGCAGAATGGTAAGCAATTTGAACGCTGCTTTTCACATAAAATAATTATTTATGGAACATGCACAAAAGGGAGTTCCAGTTAGTGTAAAACTTGTGCGTAAAATTAGCATAAAAATCTTTTCAAAAATGTAAATAAAACACTGGGGTGACATGAATCAACATGGCTGCCGCCGTGTCTAATGAGAATCACCCTCAGAGTTAATACGTGTATGTTTTCATGAATTCATACTAAAAAATAATGTACGTCACTCGTAAAAAGTGTCTTGAGCGTTTTCATTTCGAAATGCTGGACACGCCAAAGGGCGTACGAAATAAATGTTGACGAGGCGACGATGGGACTGTATCTGGCATTTTGAAATGAGTGCCATGATAACAATGTAAGTCTTGGAATCATTCTTGTTATGATTCATGTCACCACGGTATCTTATTTACTTTACAATACGATGCTGTTTTAAGTGGCCATTTGCGAAACGCCTGCCAGTGCTGAAAAATACAAATAGAAATAAAACATGTTGACAACAATGCTAATATTGGAAGTACGCTTGCTCTTCCTTGACTATTCTCTGTTATTTCTGCTACATTTCGCGGTGTGTCGCCTTTTGAAAACGTAGTCTACACCAGGGCTTCTCTTGGTTCAGCGCCAGCGTTCATCTGCGGGCGGCCGATGAGGCTCGCTGCTCGTCGAATGAGCCCAACGGGCGGGGCGGCGGGGAAGGCAAGGGGAAGGGGGCGCTCGGGCGTTCGGCTCTAGCCTAGTGAAAACCGAGTTTCCTTACTGTTAAAGCAATCACTGTGTTTGCTATATAACCAAGTTGTTAAAAAGTGAACTACACATTTTTATATTTAAAAAAATTGAAAGTCGTGAATATATTAGTTAAACATATCTTCATAGGATATCCAAAGTTAATGCTATTATTGTTATTATTGCGTTTATTGTTACCATTGATATTATTATTAAGTTATATCGTATTAATACTAATATATTCGCTCATGAACCTCTTTTACTCTCAAATACCATAAAATACTATTAAAAAAATGTAAAATCGATACAGTGTTAAGAAAAGGAAAACCCCGCGACGGCGAATGTGAAATGAGCGTTCCCTGTTGCAGTGATGCTTGACTTGCGTGTGCGTAGGTATCATCAAGGGCGACGAGATCATGGTGATCAACGGAGCCATCGTGAGCGACCTGGACATGATGTACTTGGAGAGCGTGCTGCAGGAGGAGCTGGCGCTGTGCATGATGATGCGTTCCTCGCGCACGGAGCCGCCCGACCTGGCTGGCATCATGCGCGCCACGGACGACATCATCGACAGCTTAGTCTGTCCCCCACCCCCGTCCGAGCCGCCCATCATCAGCGAGGAGATGATCTCGGGCCTCATAGTGCCGGCTCCCGGATGGAGTGAGTCTCACCCCTCTAACCTCCTAGGAAGTGTAGTCACACCATAAGTTATTCTCTAATGGCATGTTTTAAGAGACTTTATGTTACGTAGTTGCATTATATGGAAACAAAGATATGAGAACATGGTCATGGTTGCCAATGTTAATAAAACTCCAATGAAATCGCCATATTTGGAACGAATGCAGTGCGCCTTTTACTGTTTTCTCCTGTATTTCGTAGATATTATGGAAGTAATCGGATAATAATTTACGCAAACCATTTTCCTTAAGGAATGCCCCACTATCAAATATAGATTTCTGGATCCAGCTGCATTTAAGAAAGCTCGTGATCATTTACGACCTGAATGCCCTGCTTTTTCAAAAATTTCAAAAGTTCACATCTTTTCGGCACCTTTCTCAAACTACAACATTGAGCAGAGTGTCTTTTTCGTTAGTGATATCTGTTCTTCAAAGATAGATCTTCAAATAATGGCCTGTACAATTGTTCAAAAAAATAAGTAGTATTCACGTAATTTTGTGTGAAATATAGGCCGTTTTTAAACAATTTCTCAAAATCTGCTTAAATTATTTTCTTGAAATTTTCTGTTTGTATGTATCAAAGAATGTTAAAAAGTTGTTATAGTTCGATTACAGGTAAACTGCTGTATTTTCAAAACTTATAAAAATTTTCAAAACTACAAATTTCAAGATTTTTGTAATAAATGAAATCTGTTCTAAAAAAGTCAGGTGCGAATAAGGCCAAGCATATTTTTTTGAGAAAACGAGAGGAATTTTTATAATTTATGGTTGAAGTAAATGAAATTTATAAATAAAATATTTTCTCAAAAACCGGTCCAATTTGTTCTTTAATATTTTACGGTTAGAATAAGAAACGTTTAAAAGATGAATAGATGGTTTCATTGTCGTTACACTCTCTGAATTTTTGAAAGTTTTAAAAGTTATAAAAATGCGAGAATATATGTGCTGTTGTAGTACCACTAGTTCCTTTACTCATTCTCGATTAGAGCAATTTACGTTTACGAAACTGCACATTACTCGTTTCGATTAAAATGTCGGAATTGTTGAAAATCTTGTGTTCTCTTTGTTTCTAAAGTGTCAGGAGATGAGGTAGCGGCGCCGACGCAGGCAGACGGTGCAGGGGTGACTTTATGTACTTGCTAGACGCGTGTACGTGAGGGCTAACATACTTGCTACTTGAAATGGTGCCGGCGTCGTTGGTGGGATTACATGTCTGCGCTCTGTGCTGGGACGGAAGTTAATAAGTCGAGATACCACGGATTTCTGGACGGGTGACCGTTTGGGAATCCCTGTTAGTTACGGCACCGAGTCAGTGTCCGAAGGGATAAAGGTCTCTGATTGCAAAGTAACGAGACTTGACAAAAAGAACTTAACGGTGGATTATTCTAGATACACTCAATGCCCAAGAGGGGCAAAGAGACATGTGTCAAAAAGAGTCAAATTTTTTTAAATTAAAAAGTAAGTGTCTTTGAGAGTAGGCTTTAGCTTCAATCATCAGGTGGTGCGGTGTGTGTTGTGTGGCAGGCAAAGAGCTGTATTCGCCCGAGGCGGAGACTTCTCCTGCTCCTTCTAGTGACACCCCCAAGGCCACCTCCCGCACCAACAGCTTCGAGATCGAGAACCTGCTGAAGACGGCGGAGCAGGTGACGGGCTTCTGTCGCTCGCCCGGGGAGACGCCGCGCCGGGGCAGCCCCACGGGCAGCGTGGCCAGCGCCCACTCGGCGCACTCGGCGCAGTCGGCGCAGGCGCAGGCCGCGCTGCTCACGCCCTCGCGGCAGCTCTCCGACGCAGAGAAGCTGCGTAAGGTACGCTCGCCCGCATACGCTCGCCCGCTTACGCTCGCCCACTCACGCTCGCCCACTCAGGGTCACCCACTCACGCTCGCCCACTTGCGCCCGCCCACTCACGCTCGCCCACTCGCGCTCGCCCACTCGCGCTCGCCCACTCGCGCTCGCCCACTCGCGCTCGCCCACTCACGCTCGCCCACTCACGGTCACCCACTCACGCTCGCCCACTCGCGCTCGCCCACTCGCGCTCGCCCACTCCCGCTCGCCCACTCGCGCTCGCCCACTTACTCGCTGTACCGCATTCAATTTAGAGGAACGTTATTGCCTTCGATTTACACCAAAATATATTTGGATCGAGAGGATCGTACTTATGGAGGAAATATGAAAGCAGTTAAATCATTCTCATCAAATGGTTTGTTGTCTGAAACAAAACTGGGTTTTTTGTCTCATTTCTTCTATCAAACAAAAGAAATTTTACTAAGACCTACAAAGGTTTTAAAAAGAGAGATTATACGTCACAGAATATTTGATAGCTGAAGATGAGTCGATTTCTGCAAACGTTGTAATTGATAAAAATGTTTTAAGAGAAGTTGGACAATAAAATGTATGTATTTTAGAAATGTTTTAAGGAGAATTGGACAATAAAATTATGTATTTTAAATATTTTAAATGTGTTGTGACAATTTTATTCACCTGAATATGAATATTTTATAAAGAGAAATAAAAATGACTGTTGCAAATAAAAGAATGAATAAAAATTAATGTGACATAAAATAATATAACAGAAACTTAAAAATAGATTGGTTATCTCTCATAATATCATGATATCAACTGGTACCATTTCATTGGTAACATTTCCAATACCATTAACAGCCGTTATACTTCATACCAGTACCTTTTTCAAGCGCTTTCCAGGATACATTGTAATCCGTAAAAACAAGGAAAAAATATTTACTATAATTTGACCACCTCTGTACATCGAAAAAAAATTACATTCAAGGGCTTAGCGAAAAAAAATTGTTTTCGTCGCAGGAACAACATCGGCGCCAATTAAGCAGATTTTTAAAAGCGTTAAGGGGTACCGCAAAACTCATAAACACTCCATTTTCGACCTTTTTTCGCAACTTCTTAGAAAACAACGATTTTTTTCTCGTGTTTACTGAAATTTAAGCTTATTGTTGTATTTTAATTTATCCTTACCCAGTATTTGTTTAATATTGGTTTAAGTATATTGTAAAGCTAAATTGTAATATCGTTTTCATCAAATATCATAATTTCTCTAATCAAGTACAGTGTAGTACAATACATGTCGCTAGTAACCAAGTTGTTGATTCGTCTATAAATAAATTTAATTTAAAAAACACTATGCTACTGACACACATGAAGTGCCATTATCGGTCTTTATTTATATAAGTAATCAATTTCAATCAGAAAATGAAACTGTTATCGTACCAGATGATGATTACAGATTAATTTAATTACGTTATCTAATGACTATAACTTTCTATAGTAGTAATCATTTAGTTGCAATTACAAAGGTGGTTGCTTCCGCTGCGGCAGGTGGTTTTGGAGCTGGTGGACACGGAGCGCGCCTACGTGCGTCATCTGAACAACCTGTTGGAGAACTACTTGGAGCCGCTAAAGCGGGAGACGTTCCTTTCCAACGCGGAGATCAACGCGCTCTTCGGAAACATCCAGGAGATCGTCGCCTTCCAGCGCCAGTTCCTGCAGAACTTGGACGAGGCCCTGGAGCTCGAGCCGGACTTCCACAAGTTCGACCAGCCCGGACAATTCAAGGTGACAGTGAGCTTCGGCGGTGGCGCGCTTCCCAGACTAGCTGCAGGTAGTTGGGTAGGTTGCAGCCGCTCTCTGGAGGAGGCTTCTAGCGGCTGGCTGCTCTCGTCGGTAGCTTTTCCTGGTTTCTCCGATCTACACTTGGCGAATGCCGGAGCAGTACCTTATCAAATGGGCCAACGCCCACGAACCGTATCATTCTACCTACACCTCACAGACACACGCTCACAGACACACGCTCACAGACACACTCACAGACATCTTGCACTACACTACAACACATTTTCGGAGCTCAGAGTTTACGCCTTCTAGGTCAAAACAATTCACCCCGCAAAAAAGGTTAGTAATTTTTATTTCCAGGATTGAAATAAATACAAAACTGTCATAAAAATCTATCTTCATGGTACCTGCTGCTTTTAATGCCTGTTATTCAACAAGAATTATATCAGGTAATGAAACATTTAGATAATTTTATTTACTTGTATTATACTATGTGTTTCTAAGACAAAAGAGCGCTATATTATTCTGATATGTTGAAGGTATAAAGATTTCATTGCGAAACTGAAAACATACATTTTACAGAACATACAATTTTCAAAATTAATTTGTTAAAAAATCCATAACTTCTTCCTCATCGGTTTGTTTTTCATTGTCATGAAAACTACCCCATTTCGTTACAAGATAAATAATCTTATTTACATGTCTCATACATTTTCCGCCTTGCTAGTAAACACGGAGTAAAATTTACGTCCGGCGTAAGTCAGGAGTTGCCCCAATCTTGACCCGCAGCATGGAGTAAAGGAAGCGGGGAGTCGAAGGACCAAGGCCACTGCTGTCGCCAAGCAACCGTAATATCCGCTCTCAACTCTTCTTGAGCGATGACATGAAGAAATACCGGTGGAGTAAGGGTGTCAGTTATAATACCGGCCAATAGATTTTAGAAGCATTGCCAATTTGTGGACAATCAGCCATGCCGTCGCAACTTTCTCAATAATTTGCGTTCTAACCTTCTCGAGGTATCTCCTGTTATGGATCTGGACCTACTTCGGCCATTTCTTTAGAGATTTTGAAGAAAAACACGAACGGAAGTTCTCTTCTTTAACAGCAGATAGATTTTATTACACGCCAATGAATGTGTTTGGAACGTTGAAGTCAGTGCTCGCGGAGAGCGTTTTCCTTCATCTGTGCCAGAAAGGGTAAAGTTGCGCCATCGGTCAAGAAAAGTTGGTCGGGTAATACGTCGAACGCAGAGTAAGCGCGAAGTAGGGGAGAGCGAATGGCCCGGCAAGTGGTCGCGTTTCAATTAGAGATGATTTTTATTCGTGCGTAGCTGAAACATGGACAAGAGAAGCCGAAGTGAAAATTGGGATAGAGAAGAGAAGGTATGTACATCATATAATGCAAACGAAGCGTTGTTATGTTGTTGTTGTTTTTTACTTTTCTTTTTTCAATAAAGAGAACCGATTGTGTGCACGTGTCAATAACATAGCTGTATTGCTCTAGGAATTGTTGATTGAAGATTGATTTCCTGTTCTCGGCACCATGGGCAACATCATTTCGACGAACAGAGCGAAAGTGGAGAGTTTTTAGAAAGATTGCAGAGAAGTATGTAATGCAATGCCATTCCCTTTTTATTCAATGTATTTTGTTCTCTTTCATAAATATTTGGTGTGCATTGTATTTTATCTCAATTAATGAATTAAATCCCCGAGAAAAAAACTTTGTTTAGATAAAAATCCATTCGAAGAGGAAGAAGAGAAAATCGAAAAAGTAAGTAGCAAATTATAAAATGGAAAAAAGTTGGCGGTATCGCATCATCGATAATATCGTTTCAAGAAACTAGTGCCATTTCAAAATTGATCCTACTGGAGTTTGAAAGCGGGACTAAATATTTTGACTGTGCAAGTAATTACCTCGCATTCATTGTTTTCTCTGATATATACATCTTGTATATTTTTTATTCTCTGTTTTCAGGCGGATTCATACCCAAATTTACTGGAAAGTACTGACGTAATACTTATTTCTTCTCCCTTCTTTTGTTATTTACATTCAATAATGGTTTCTTGGAATTAAATATACAATTCATATTAAATGGGCGTTCTGGTAGAACTGTACCCTTTCTGAAGAATCAAATTACAATTTTATGGAGGCAACTCTGAAATAATAATTTTGTAATATGATACTGAAAATTTGTATACAAGTCATTGTTTCTAAATATTTTTTAGCGTCTGAATTCACAGCTCAACTCACTTTGTTGATGCCAGAGCCATACTGAGTTGTAGATGGCATACAGACATGAGGGTGAGACACCAGTGAGAAATAGGAACAATGTCACAAAAGTGTGAAAATATTATTTTTCTTAAAGATTTCCTTCTCTTTCTTCTTAAACATCAAGGATTAGGCCTGAAGGCCTGTTGCATCCTCTTCAATGTTATTATCATCACTCCACCGAGTTTTTGGTCTTCTAACTCTGCTTCTGCCAGCCTGTTTTGTTTCTGTTTTTTGACTATTCTAAGACTAATATTATTATTATCATCATTATTGATTTTCTTTCTTGGTAGAAACTGGTCAAAGGGGATCTGTCTTTTGGTGTCTTTGGACCAAATTTGGTACTTACGAAAAGGGAATTCACCCTATCCCACTTGAATTTACTGCAAAATCTTTGGAATAATGTGACAATTCTGAAATGAAACTACATTTTGTGCAGAATTCTTCATGAACTTCCTGCCCTGTTTCAGTTGCATTACAAGCGCCTTATAGGTTCGCCATACGTATCACATGTTCTGCATTTGACTATCATATTCATGTTTATTACATTTTCGTACGGTTTGGTTTGCAGAACCCTGTCTTGGATAGCAATTTCAAACACTCTGGTTATAAATATCCACTGCAGATATGTGACTTAAGAAGTTACATACTGGTCCCCCAGAAGATTGGGAAACTTTCCGTACAAGATTTTTCCCTTCCAAGAATGTAGTTGATCTTGTGAATTTCTAATATTAATCTCGATGTTATAAAACAAAATTAGTGGTGTGTGACCTAAATCAATTTCTTTTTTTATCGCCAAAAAAAGTTAAAAACTGTAATGTGCTTTATGGAGAAGTGTATTCTGTGCACGTCTCTATTATATGCTGCATAATTTTGTCAGAAAAGCGGATCAGTTTACTTATATTATGTTCTTGCTTCCTACAAAGCCTGTGCCTGAAGTCAAAGCTCTTCCTCCGACATTTGGGAGTAGATAGAACGTCTGTTGCAGATGGAATGGAATTGTAACTTAGCAATCGTCTTGTATTCTGTCAATAAATTTAAATCAGAGTTACTAACTATTTGCTTAACTATTTCAAAAGAATACGTAATACGATCTAGGTATTGATGGCTGTTATAATGTTATTACCCGATCATTTTGTATTGAGTACTGTAGTTATTCTACTCCTTATTTTTCTGTAAAGGTTTACTTTAGCTGATTGTGTTCAGTCCTTGGGTCTTTCCATGTTCCAAAATACAAATTATTTATTACACATATTATTTCATATCGTTTTTAATTTATCACATTAATAAACATTCTAATACCTGTAGAAGTGGGGCGTTAATCACCCAAAAAACGTTGAAATAAAATACTTTCAGATCTCGTAATTGATTTGCCCTCTACGGTTCTGAATTCAGTGTATAGTATTCTTAAGGGATTAATTTATATTATTAATATTATTTATTACTAGTATATGCATTACAATTTTCTAGAATCAACTCAGATGAGAATACATTGAGTGTTATTCATAACATTGATATAAGACAGGTTCTCAAAGCTGTGAAAAGGAATTCTAATTATATTATTTTTTAAAGCTTGCATGTTTGATCTTTAGCGGTTTTACTACATAGTATTAAAAATGAAACATGTACAATTTAAGTCATAAAAAATACTCGCATCTTTCAAAAATTTTATCGTCTTGTCGGTTGCTGACAGTCCTGTTACTCAGAGTCATCCTTCTTGTTACCTTTCAAGCTAGTCTGAGCCCAGAGTGATCTGCACATTCAGAAAATGATTCAAGGTCAGAATACCTCCACAGCCGCATGTGGGTTCTCAGAAATGATCCTACGCCGTCAAACATCTCAAGAGTCGCTATGATGTGGCCTTGCGAAACACTATTCTCTAGTACGTAACGATTTGAAATTTTCTGCCCGACACAAACTTAAAAGAAAGTGTGACTAAGGAAGCTAGATATGAATTTTGGTATATTTTCTCTTATTTGTCATTTTATGTAACTGTCTCAGAACGTTATATCGCCAGATCTTATCAAAAGCCTTTTTCTGGTCAAAGAACAAAGAAATGATGTGTTGTATTTTAATTAAGGTCCTCTGTATTATGTTTTATAAATATACTAGCCAATCGATGATGAAGTGATGGTGTCAGGTGTTGACCTCTAGTCTAGTTTATAATATTTTTGTAGACACCGACAAATATTAGAAATGGTAGTACTATCGCTTCTTTTCAGACTTTGAGGAAACTACCTTCTATGTAGACAATATTCTATATATTATATTTAACAGATGGGCAGTATTTATTTTGGTTATCACACTAGTTCGCTGTAAGGGGTCACATAAATTACTACTGCAGTGTCTCGAGTTTCATTTATAGCATCCTGAATTCCCTCGTTGTAAAAAGTGCGCTGTACGGCTTATCTGTGTCTATTGTAACTTCTTTTCCTCGTTTTTCTTGAGAAAACCTTCAGAGTAGTTATTTGAGTTGATGACCTTTGGAACATTGACACGCTAAAACGTTAGATATTTCATCAGAATTAGAGTAATTGTCCTTCGTGTTATAAGGATATTAGAGGAATAAGTATGTTATTCCAGCAATTGAACAGATCTTCTTCCATAGTTTGCGACATTAGTCGTCAGAGTTGTGGTTATCA